AGTCCCCATGCTCACAGACTGCAGAGCTAGGCGGGCAGATCTCATGCAGAAACCAGTGCCTAGACAAGGGAAGTGACTGTTTCTGTCATATGACTAGCAGGCAACCCAGGCAGGATGAGAACTCATGCCTTGTTACTTCCTGCTCAGGGCTCCTTCTGCTATTCCCCATAGCCAGGGGCCTCTCTGGACACTCCCAGCCATTGAAAAGTGGTTCTGAGGCCACCAGTGCTCCCTGCATCTTTTGAGATACCTTCTCTTAGGCCCGTTTAGGGCTAAGGTGCCACAGCTGCCCCTTCTGAGGTCAAGATGGCTTCACTCGAGTGCTTCTTGCCTGCAGAGAGAGCTCACAATCAGGGAGCATGTGCCTCTGGTTGAGACCTGCACGACCTCAGGATTTTTTTATGTAAAGAAAAGGCCTTTTTCCCCATCATGAAAAGATGCTTTGCAAAGCAAGGCAGAGGAGGCTACTGACATCTTATCTAGAGCAATCCATAGAGTAAAATACCATGGACAGCGTCTGGGATCTGTGGGATCACAGGGAGGGTAGGTGCTAAAGCCTTGCTATACAGGTGTGGGTCAGTGGCAGCATCACCTGGGGCTTGTGAGAAACACAGAGTCTCAGGCTGACCCCCATCCACCTTCTGAACCAGAGCTTGCCTCTTTTTTTTTTTAAGTCAGAGTCTCACATTGTCGCCCAGACTGGAGTGCAGTGGCACACTCCTGGCCACTGCAGCCTTGACCTCCTGGGCTCCGGTGATCCTTCCTCCTCAGCCTTTCAAGTAGCTGGAACTACAGGCACGTGCTACCATGCCTGGCTAATTTTTTTTTAATTTATTGTAGAGATGAGGTCTCACCAAGTTGTCCGGGCGGGTCTCGAACCCACAGGCTCAGGCAATTCACTCACCTCGGCCTCCCAAAGTGCTGGGATTACAGGCTGAGTCACCGAGACCAGCCAGAGCTTGCCTCTTAACATCCCCTGGAGATCTGTGTGCACGTTAGAGTTAGAGAAGCACTGTGTTCAACAATTTCCAGGAGTGAGGTAGAGGTTTTTATTTTCTTTGTCCCCTGTGATTAGTTATTGTATTTTTTTTTTTTTTTTTTTAGTTGGAGTCTCACTCTGACGCCCAGACTGGAGTGCAGTGGCCGCTCCTGGCCACTGCAGCCTCGACCTGCTGGGCTCCAGCGATCCTTCCACCTCAGCTGTACGAGTAGCCACAATTACAGGCACGCGCCACCATGCCCGGCTGATTTTTTTTGATTTATTGTAGAGGTGAGGTCTCGCCAAGTTGCCCAGATGGGTCTCGAACCCACGGGCTCAGGCAGTCCATTCACCTCAGCCTCCCAAAGCGCGGGATTACAGGCTGAGCCACCGAGCCCGACTTGTATTTTTTTTTTGAGTCAGAGTCTCACTCTGTTACCCAGGCTGGAGTGGAGTGCTCATGGCCACCGCAGCCTTGACCTGCTAGGCAGGTGATCCTTCTGTCTCAGCCTTCCAAGTAGTTGGAACTACAGGCATGTGCCACATGCCCAGCTAATTTTTTGATTTATTGTAGAGATGAGGTCTCGCCAAGTTGCCCAGGCTGGTCTCAAACTCTCGAACTCAGGAATCTCTTGCCTCAGTCTCTCAAAGTGCTGGGATTATAGGTGTGAGCCACCGCACCCAGCTTATATATTTTTTCATGTGAAGTACTTTTATGATGAGAAAAAATATCAAAGGCGTTTCCAGTGGTAGTGAGGGAAATCCTATCAGGCTTCCATTTGGCATTGCCCAAGGGCAAGTAGAGTTGTCAGGCCTAGGACTTGAGAAGAGGAAGAGAGAGAGCCTGACTTCTCTCTTCTGCTGTTAGAGAGGGATGAGCAGAAACCAAACTAAACAGAAAGCAGGGTCTGTTGATAGGCACAGGTGTCAAGAGAGGTGTCAGAGGACCTTGGGCAGGTGGGTGTGTAACCATCCCGGATGACTTTTTTTTTTTTTTGAGTTGGAGTCTCACTTGGTTGCCCAGACTGGAGTGCAGTGGCCGCTCCCGGCCACCGCAGACTTGCCTGCTGGGCTCCGGCCATCCTTCCGCCTCAGCCTTCTGAGTAGCCGGAATTACAGGCATGCACTACAATGCCCGGCTGATTTTTTTTTGATTTATTGTAGAGTTGCGGTCTTGCTGCCCAGGCGGGTCTCGAACCCGCAGGCTCAGGCAATCCACTCACCTCAGCCTCCCAAAGGCACGAGATTACAGGCTGAGCCACCAAGCCCAGCTCGGATGACATTTTAAGATGCCCAATGTCAGGTGGAAATGGTGTATAGGCTGTCCTTTATCAAAACCTTTTCCAGAAAAAATAATACTGGCGACAGTTGAGTCAGTTGTTTTGCTGTGTCTCAAAGAGTGCTGACTGGTTCCAGCACCATGGCTGGAGTCAGGCAGGGTCCTTGGTACTGTGTTCCTAACACGGGCTTCAAAGGAGCATGGTCTTGAGTGAGGATCACAGTTCCTGAATTAGCATTCAAATTCGAACAGAATCAAAACCTTTAATTCTGATCCACAAGACCATACATGACTGGCCCCTGCCTGCCTGCCTGATCTTTCCTTCCCCTTTTTTGCTTTTTGCCCAAGTCACAGTGAACTTCCTTCTAGTTTTGGAAGACCAGAGCCAGGCTTATTCTGAGCTTCTTCCCTTGCTGTTTGCTCTGCCAGGAATGCTGGTCTGCCATTTCTTTTTTTTTGTCTGTTTGTTTTAGTTGGAGTCTTACTCTGTCGCCCAGGCTGGAGTGCAGTGGCATGCTCATGGCCACCCTGGTGTCGACCTGCTGGACTCTGGTGATCCTTCCGTCTCAGCCTTCCAAGTAGCCGGAACTACAGGCGTGCGCTAATTTTTGGATTTACTGTGGAGATGAGGTCTCACTATATTGACCAGGCTGGTCTCGAACCCGCAGGTTCAGGCAGTCCTCTCGCCTTGAACTTGCAAAGTGCTGCGCCACCGAGCCCAGCCTGCCATTTCTTTCCAGAGCTGCTCCTTTTCTTTCTTTCCTTTTTTTGAGTCGGAGTCTCACTCTGTTTCCCAGACTGGGGGGCTGTGGCATGCTCCTCACGGCCACTGCAACTTTGACCTGCTGAGCTCAGGCAATCCTGCTTCAGCCTTCCAGGTAGCTGGAGCTACAGGCGTGTGTGACCACAGCTGGCTTAATTTTTTATTTATTGTAGAGATGAGGTCTCACCAAGTTGCCTAGGTTTGTCTACCTGTGGGCTCAGGCAAGCCTCTCGCCTTGGCCTCCCAAAGTGCTGGGGTTATAGGCCCTCTTGCTTCCCTCTACCTCATTACTTTGTCTGGGTTTCCTTCCTAGCATCTGGTTGATTCATTTATTAGTACAATATTTGTTTTTTCCTAATTGTATTTTAGCTCCATAAGAGGCTGGATCTTTATGCCATTTAACTCCTGTGCCTCCAGTACTTCGAACATTGCCTGGAATACAGTAGAGGCTAAATAGATCCTGAATGGACCAGTGCACACACTTACTTGACTTCTCTGAGCTTAATTTCCCCATGTGGTATGGGTTCCTGGCTTGTAAGGTGGTTAGGAAGATGAAAGGAGATGTTACATGCAGGGTGCCTAGCTTACTGCCTGGTATGCAAGAAGTGTCCAACATGTGGTAACAGTTAATATCAACTGGCCCTTTCTCAATGATATTATGTAATTAAACAATCAATGGACTGCCCCTGGTTTGACTTGGAGGAATCACTGACCATCTCTGAGATAATGCCTGCTGCTGCTCCCAGGTGCAGCCCACACAGAGTTGCCCGAGAGAAAATTGGTTGGTGGCATCTACAGTGTGGAGCATCTGCTTTTGCAACTTTGAATTTGAATAGGCTTTGAGATGACTGTGCTCTGTGTCTGGTGCTTCCTAATCCGCAGCCTTGTCTCTGATGACAAGAGTCCTTGGCTATCTTGTGGAGCGTCCATTGTAACTGTGACAGTTGTCTGCCCCACACTTTAAAGTACCCTTGCCCCAGCCTTCCTAAGTGGAAGTTGGGTGTGTGTCTCCTGTATCAGTTGGCAATGCTTTTGGCTGCAAGTAACAGCCCAACCTGGTTTGAACACATGGGGTTATTTATTTTGTGAGAGTTAAGTTGTTTATAGTGTTGGCCTAGTCAATCAATGATATCAGGGCTGGTGTCTTTGTGATTCTCTTGGCCTTTCCCTCAGGCACATGGCTTCATGGTGACAAGATACTGCTCTGACTCCACTTAGCATGCATATGATTGAGTCATGAAGGATGGAGGAGGGAGTGATGACCTTCACAGCTCTTCTTTATATCAAAAAGGCATGACTTTCTCAGAAACCTCCTGATGCATTTCTACTTACTTCTCATTGGCCAGAATTCTTTTTTTTTTGGGTTGGAGTCTCAGTCCATTACCCAGGCTGGAGCACAGTGGCACATTCTCGGCCACTCCAGTGTCGACCTGATGGGCTTAGAACTACAGGCACACGCTGCCATGCCTGGCTAATTTTTTGATTTATTGTAGAGATGAGGTCTCGCCAAGTTGCCTAGACTCATCTCAAACTCGTGGGCTTAGGCAATCCTCTCACCTCGACCTCCCAAAGTGCTGGTATTACAGGCTGGAGCCACTGTGCCTGGCTGACCAGACTTTTTATTTTTTTTGAGTAGGAGTCTCACTCTGTTGCCCAGACTGGAGTGCAGTGGCCACTCCCGGCCACCTCAGACTCGACCTGCTGGGCTCTGGCGATCCTTCTGCCTCAGCCTTCCTAGTAGCCGGAATTACAGGCATGCGCTACCACGCCCAGCTGATTTTTTGATTTATTGTAGAGATGAGGTCTCGCTGCCCAGGTGGATCTCGAACCCGCGGGCTCAGGCAATCCACTCACCTCAGCCTCCCAAAGGCGTGGGTTTACAGTCTGAGCCACCGAGCCCAGATAGACTTCTTAAGGTCAGCCTCAGCTGCTGAGAAAAGGAGTAGCTAGGTTTTTCAGCATGGATTGCGGAAGGTGGCATGGGAAAGGATGTTGGAGGCAATGGTGAGATCAGCTGGTAAGCAGTACCTGGTATACTGGGAAATGTATTTTTTTTTTAGACTGCCGGTTGTCAACGCGGGGCAGTTTTGTTTCCCAGGGAAATGTGGTAAAATATGCAGACATTTTTGTTGTCACAGCTCCGGGTTGTGTATGCTAATGGCATCTAGTGGGTAGGGGCCAGGGATACTACTAAACATCCTTCAATGTCAGTAGTGCCAAAGTTACGAATCTTCTGGACACTTTGTTCAAATCTGGGAACAATTAGTGTAGTTGTTTTCCTGTGAGGCAGTAACAGGCAATGGTCAAATTTCATTGTAATGATGATATAGATGATTGGTACCTAGTCATTCTATTGATCTTGTAAATGGTCAGTAGCAGAGGACTGATCCTAGTGGGGGACAGCTGTGTACCATAGTGCCAGAAAGTCTTCATAGAAGACTAACATGAAACAGAACTAATAAAGTCTTCTTGAATTTTTAGGATCCCAGAATAATGACAAAAGACAATTTCTGCTGGAGCGACTGCTGGATGCAGTGAAACAGGTAAGAGGAGAGATTGCGTTTGCCTTTTGGGTTGAGTAATAGTGTAAAATAGTTTATATAGCTGGGCTCGGTGGCTCAGCCTGTAATCCTGCGCCTTTGGGAGGCTGAGGTGAGTGGATTGCCTGAGCCCACGGGTTCGAGACCCGCCTGGGCAGCGAGACTTCATCTCTGCAATAAATCAAAAAATCAGCTGGGTGTGGTAGTGAGCGCCTGTAGTTCCGGCTACTTGGAAGGCTGAGGCGGAAGGATCGCCGGAGCCCAGCAGGTCGAGGCTGCGGTGGCCAGGAGCGGCCACTGCACTCCACTCTGGATGACAGAGTGAGACTCCAACTCAAAAAAAAAAAAAAAGGTTTATATAGAAGTCATTTCTTCCCTTAATCTATGCAGGGTTGTTCCTACTTTGTATCTGGGAATAGTGCAGTGATGTAATCGTTTTCCCTAGGAAATTATAGAGCAGGAATGCTGTCAGAGTTGGGACTGAGGCATTCCTGTGTCTTTTGTTTCCAAAGTGCTCTGGAGGGCCCATCCTTCAGTGATGTCCCTTCAAGAAGAGCATTGATGTGGGTTTCAGAGTTCCATTTCCAAGCAGTTGTATTTTTGGGCAACTCTGAGGGGCTCTGGGGTTTGGAGTTAGGGTTTGGAGTTAGGACCCGTGAACACAAGAACAGGGCGAGGAGGGATGAGGTCATACCTGGGATCCTCTGCTGCTGCTAGCAGCTGTGTGCCCTCTCCGGGCGGCTCTGCCATGGTGGGCTGATGCTGTTGTGATGCCTGGCCCTGGCTGGGCTTGGAAGCGAGCTTGGACGTGGGACTGGAATCCATCTGCTTGCCTGTGTCACGTGCGCAGTGCCACTCGCTGTCATTTATCCCACAACCGCCATGTGCCAGGTTCTCTGCTAAGTGCTTCACTTATAATCCTTCCAGCCATCCCATGAGATAGTTCCTGCAATTAGCTTCATTTTATAGATGGAGAAACTGGAGCTCAGAGAGATCTAATAACTTGCTCAAGGTGTCATAGTATGTGGCAGAGCTAGGATCCAAACCTGGGAATTCTAGGAGCTCACTGTTTGGAAGGGGAAGTTGACAATTGTATGTATTATCAATTTATTGTCACAATAAATTGGAGAGAGCTACTTTAATAGGGTGTGTGTTAAGTGTTATGAGCCCAGATAACTTAGTGTCAGGTGATAGAATGAGACCATTACTCAAAAACTTAAAAAAAATTACCATTTTAAGTGTACAGCTTCATGCATTTTGATAAATGTATAATTAAAAATGATATATTGGCCAGCCTGTAATCCCAGCACTTTGGGAGACTGAGATGAGAGGATTGCCTGAGCTCATGGATTTGAGACTAGCCTGGGCAAAATGATGAGACCTCATCTCCTCAGTAAATCAAAAAATTAGCTGGGCATAGTAGCACTTGCCTATAGTTCCAGCTACTTGGAAGGCTGAGGCGGAAGGATCCCTGAGCCCAGCAAGTCAGTGTTGGAATGGCCGTGAGTGTGCCACTGCACTCTAGCCTGGGTGATGGAGTGAGACTCCAACTAAAAAAAAAAAAAAAAAAAAACCTGGGCTCAGTGGCTCAGCCTGTAATCCCACACCTTTGGGAGGCTGAGGTGAGTGGATTGCCTGAGCCCGCGGGTTCGAGACCCGCCTGGGCAGCGAGACCTCATCTCTACAATAAATCAAAAAATGAGCCGGGCGTGTAGCGCACGCCTGTA